GTTCTTATGTTCTTTTTTTTTTTTTTTATCACACCGGCCGATTCCCACCAAGGCAGGGTGGCCCGAAAAAGAAAAACTTTCACCATCATTCACTCCATCACTGTCTTGCCAGAAGGGTGCTTTACACTACAGTTTTTAAACTGCAACATTAACACCCCTCCTTCAGAGTGCAGGCACTGTACTTCCCATCTCCAGGACTCAAGTCCGGCCTGCCGGTTTCCCTGAATCCCTTCATAAATGTTACTTTGCTCACACTCCAACAGCACGTCAAGTATTAAAAACCATTTGTCTCCATTCACTCCTATCAAACACGCTCAAGCATGCCTGCTGGAAGTCCAAGCCCCTCGCACACAAAACCTCCTTTACCCCCTCCCTCCAACCCTTCCTAGGCCGACCCCTACCCCGCCTTCCTTCCACTACAGACTGATACACTCTTGAAGTCATTCTGTTTCGCTCCATTCTCTCTACATGTCCGAACCACCTCAACAACCCTTCCTCAGCCCTCTGGACAACAGTTTTGGTAATCCCGCACCTCCTCCTAACTTCCAAACTACGAATTCTCTGCATTATATTCACACCACACATTGCCCTCAGACATGACATCTCCACTGCCTCCAGCCTTCTCCTCGCTGCAACATTCATCACCCACGCTTCACACCCATATAAGAGCGTTGGTAAAACTATACTCTCATACATTCCCCTCTTTGCCTCCAAGGACAAAGTTCTTTGTCTCCACAGACTCCTAAGTGCACCACTCACTCTTTTTCCCTCATCAATTCTATGATTCACCTCATCTTTCATAGACCCATGCGCTGACACGTCCACTCCCAAATATCTGAATACGTTCACCTCCTCCATACTCTCTCCCTCCAATCTGATATTCAATCTTTCATCACCTAATCTTTTTGTTATCCTCATAACCTTACTCTTTCCTGTATTCACCTTTAATTTTCTTCTTTTGCACACCCTACCAAATTCATCCACCAATCTCTGCAACTTCTCTTCAGAATCTCCCAAGAGCACAGTGTCATCAGCAAAGAGCAGCTGTGACAACTCCCACTTTGTGTGTGATTCTTTATCTTTTAACTCCACGCCTCTTGCCAAGACCCTCGCATTTACTTCTCTTACAACCCCATCTATAAATATATTAAACAACCACGGTGACATCACACATCCTTGTCTAAGGCCTACTTTTACTGGGAAAAAATTTCCCTCTTTCCTACATACTCTAACTTGAGCCTCACTATCCTCGTAAAAACTCTTCACTGCTTTCAGTAACCTACCTCCTACACCATACACTTGCAACATCTGCCACATTGCCCCCCTATCCACCCTGTCATACGCCTTTTCCAAATCCATAAATGCCACAAAGACCTCTTTAGCCTTATCTAAATACTGTTCACTTATATGTTTCACTGTAAACACCTGGTCCACACACCCCTACCTTTCCTAAAGCCTCCTTGTTCATCTGCTATCCTATTCTCCGTCTTACTCTTAATTCTTTCAATTATAACTCTACCATACACTTTACCAGGTACACTCAACAGACTTATCCCCCTATAATTTTTGCACTCTCTTTTATCCCCTTTGCCTTTATACAAAGGAACTATGCATGCTCTCTGCCAATCCCTAGGTACCTTACCCTCTTCCATACATTTATTAAACAATTGCACCAACCACTCCAAAACTATATCCCCACCTGCTTTTAACATTTCTATCTTTATCCATCAATCCGGCTGCCTTACCCCCTTTCATTTTACTACTGCCTCACGAACTTCCCCACACTCACAACTGGCTCTTCCTCACTCCTACAAGATGTTATTCCTCCTTGCCCTATACACGAAATTCACAGCTTCCCTATCTTCATCAAATTTAACAATTCCTCAAAATATTCCTTCCATCTTCCCAATACCTCTAACTCTCCATTTAATAACTCTCCTCTCCTATTTTTAACTGACAAATCCATTTGTTCTCTAGGCTTTCTTAACTTGTTAATCTCACTCCAAACTTTTCTTTATTTTCAACAAAATTTGTTGATAACATCTCACCCACTCTCTCATTTGCTCTCTTTTTACATTGCTTCACCACTCTCTTAACCTCTCTCTTTTTCTCCATATACTCTTCCCTCCTTGCATCACTTCTACTTTGTAAAAACTTCTCATATGCTAACTTTTTCTCCTTACTACTCTCTTTACATCACATTCCACCAATCGCTCCTCTTCCCTCCTGCACCCACTTTCCTGTAACCACAAACTTCTGCTGAAACACTCTAACACTACATTTTTAAACCTACCCATACCTCTTCGACCCCATTGCCTATGCTCTCATTAGCCCATCTATCCTCCAATAGCTGTTTATATCTTACCCTAACCGCCTCCTCTTTTAGTTTATAAACCTTCACCTCTCTCTTCCCTGATGCTTCTATTCTCCTTGTATCCCATCTACCTTTTACTCTCAGTGTAGCTACAACTAGAAGTGATCTGATATATCTGTGGCCCCTATAAACATGTACATCTGAAGTCTACTCAACAGTCTTTTATCTACCAATACATAATCCAACAAACTACTGTCATTTCGCCCTACATCATATCTTGTATACTTATTTATCCTCTTTTTCTTAAAATATGTATTACCTATAACTAAACCCCTTTTATACAAAGTTCAATCAAAGGGCTCCCATTATCATTACACCTGGCACCCAAACTTACCTACCACACCCTCTCTAAAAGTTTCTCCTACTTTAGCATTCAAGTCCCCTACCACAATTACTCTCTCACTTGGTTCAAAGGCTCCTATACATTCACTTAACATCTCCCAAAATCTCTCTCTCTCCTCTGCATTCCTCTCTTCTCCAGGTGCATACACGCTTATTATACCCACTTCTCGCATCCAACCTTTACTTTAATCCACATAATTCTTGAATTTACACATTCATATTCTTTTTTCCCTCCTTCCAAAACTGATCATTTACATTACTGCTACCCCTTCCTTTGCTCTAACTCTTCAGATACTCCAGATTTAATCCCATTTATTTCCCCCCACTGAAACTCTCCTACCCCCTTCAGCTTTGTTTCGCTTAGGGCCAGGACATCCAACTTCTTTTCATTCATAACATCAGCAATCATCTGTTTCTTGTCATCCGCACTACATCCACGCACATTTAAGCAACCCAGTTTTATAAAGTTTTTCTTCTTCTCTTTTTTAGTAATTGTATACAGGAGAAGGGGTTACTAGCCCATTGCTCCCGGCATTTTAGTCGCCTCATACGACACGCATGGCTTACGGAGGAAAGATTCTTTTCCACTTCCCCATGGACAATAGAAGAAATAAAAAAGAACAAGAGCTATTTAGAAAAAGGAGAAAAACCTAGATGTATGTATATATATATATGCATGTTCTTATGTTCATATATGCTCTTATCGTTTCTTGCGTTTTTTTTTCTCTGAATGTGTGTGTGTGTGATGTAAATAAAAAATAATCAGTATCTTAAACGTGTTTTGCTAACGATTAATAAGAAAGTAGTAGTGAAATCCAAGAGATGACTAAGAAACTAGATATGTTTTGTTAATACGTTATCTCTCACCCAAACTCAGAATGTATAACGCAAGGCATACAAGAATCTAGTAGCTTAGAATCAAAACCCTGAAGCAGCAGATGAGCTGCATCCCGACTTCATCAAAAAATCTAGAAGTTATTTCTCAATCTTCCCAAGAGATCCAGAAACTGGAGATCCACATCTTGAAGACATGCAAGTAGTTTAGCTCAACTCCTCTAGTTTTCAGGATTATATTTTATCGGTTTTCGTTGCCCGCTTATGTTCTATTTCAAATTCTCTACAATCTTGAAATAAGAATTTTGTTTTTAAATTTCATCAAAGGGAGCTGAGGAATGGTCAAAACAATTTGCCAACTATCATTTACAAATTTCAATAACGTTCCAAATCTTCCTCTAAATAAGACATTAGTGATGAAAATTTGAATCCCATCGGATGAAACATATATATATATATAATCGCATGAAAACCATTGTTTCAATGCGCCTATTTTTTTTTTTTTCCAATTTAATTGGTGAATTGATTGATACATGGAATAATATGACTTGCAAAAATTTTCCTTATCCAGCAAAATTATCCTTATCCAGCTCCCGGCCCTGGGTCAGGTATCTCTGGTCAACCAAGCTCTTGTTAGCGGCTAACTAACAAGAGCTTGGTTGACCAGAGTTTGGGATATACACAATCGAAAATCGATAAGACCTTTCATTGAAGCAAAACCCACAAGTGGTGAAAATCTGAAAAGGCATTTTCTAGGTATTGCATGAAAATCAATAATGAAAACTTTATTTATGTCAGGAAATTGCCGAGAAAGACTTAAACTGAATCTTACTTTTGGTTCGATGCTTCAGATTTTAAAACTTCAAACCATTTAAGAGAGACATTTTTTTATCACATGGAGAAATTGCCACTCGGAAAATTATTCTGTGAAGCAAATACTTGTATTAAATATTTGAATCCGATCAGCATAAAGGTTCAAAAGATTTCACATGGAAACCTCCCCATTATTTACTTTCATAAAACTAGGAAATTTACTTTCATAAAATTAGGAAATTTACTTTCATAAAATTAGGAAATAAAATACATCAACACTGAAGCCTTATGAGAACATACGTTCTCAAGTTGACGAAGAAGAATTTTCGAAGGTAAAGAAATTTTTTAAAATAACTGTCTAGGGATTCCTCAGTATTATTGGTTACTGTAAATAAGAATTAAATAATGAGAGTATTACGGCTGCATCTAAAACAATTATTTCCAAATAATATAGTAAACTATTAGGATCATTTCACATATAAATTTTTCGTGTGAGCCACAGTGACAATATAGTTGTGGCAATAATTCATAGTTAATAGCTATATCCTTGAAACTTTTCTGATCTCTCAGTGTCACTTAAAACGCACAATTATTTGGTCACAGAAAACAAAGGAAATTCAAGTGCATATCCTTTATTTGAAACACATATTGTGTTAACAATAATAAATTAGGACAAAATATATGTACAGTCATTCCACACGACACACACTCAACGGGCAAATGACACAACAGCATGGAGGAGAGGGTGCATTGCTTACTAATGGTGATAACCAGAATCGGAGTGTTAATACCATTAAGAAAAAAGAAAAACAGCTCTTCCAACAATGGCAGTTCCTATTTTACTGATATTATTTTGAGGGAGCGCCGTAGCTGGGGGATGGACTCCTGACTTCACCACGTGCTCGGGCAGCGTCTTCCTGAGCGGCAAATGCGATCTGGTCCAGTACGAACTGAGGGATTGGATGGGGGAACTCAGGAGCCACTGGCAAGAAGGAGGATTGGGGCTGGTAGCCGGCGGCGTCGGCGACGAACTTAAGATCAAATACTTGTCCATCAGGGAAAGTGAAGCTGAAGAAGATAAAGGAATGTGTTAGTGTTTACGTAATACTGAGGCAAATTCATAATTTAGGAGTAAATTATGTAATAAGATTCAAAGACACTGACTAAGATAAGAAAAAGAGATGGAAAAAAGTGAGAGACATGGATAAAAATGGAGATCTTTCAAATGGTAATTTATAGTGAATGAAAAAGTCTTCCCAACATTGAACATGGTCGTCAGCTACAGGGAAACACTCACCTGACAGAGCCCTGTTGACTACCGCCGGGGCCTCCAGACTCCTGCCTCACAATACCGTCCTCGGTCTCCAAGTTCAAGGAGTAAAGGCCCTGGGCATCAGGGTGTACTCGATCGTCGCGGATGATAGCGATCTGAGGTCCCTGGTGACCATGACTAGGTGCTGGGCCTGGTGCTCCATAGGTTGTGAGTGGTCGTTTGTCAGCCGCCGCCACAGCAAGCAGAGCCAACATCACAATCTGTACCATGGCATAAATTTAGTGGAAGGTCAGTCAGGTGTTCATAATGGCTCTTATCATTATATACAATTATTACACTGTGTTAGGTATTAATTATTCCTTGTGTTGTTATGATATTTTGAATAGTTTTCTGTCTTCATCTTAATTAATTCTAAACATTTTTGTGAAGTTAAACATTGCTTGATTATTGAGCTAGTGACTTTGTTGAATAGAAGGGATGGAAATTCTTGTTTATTGGACTTCTACTGAAGTATGCACCACGACTCGGCCACGAATATCTGTACTCACAGTCCTCATGATGCAGATGTTGCAGGTTTTGCAAGGTATGAACGGAAGAGATGTCTAGAGACTGATGTCTCACTCCTTACACACACAGCTTATATAGTCGCCATCGTACCGCTGGTGTTGCCCACTGCCGCTTTTGTTGCCGACCTCTCCAGTCAACCTGTTTTATTCCAAATAACATTTCCTCTTCGTTTATTGCTGTAACATTAATAATAATTTGTGCATTATTCATAAATCATAAAATTATCGTGTTTAATAAAAGAACATTAGAACCGTTCAATGAAATGAATTTTCCATTAGTAAAATATTTTCTCATTCTACCAACCAATTCAAGGTGTTATGAGCTAGAAGCATTCTAAAATGATGACACCCTTACCAGACACTTAGATAATCCTTGTAACGTGACAATGCGTGTAACGTATTTTGGGACAAGCAGCCAAGGTATTCTTCAGTGTATCAGGGAGCCCTTCAAGGGAAGTTCCATGACGCTGGTGAGGGGCTCTTGTTCTAGGGAATTGGATCTCTGCTCCAGTTCCCTGAACTGAACTTAAATACCTTCCAGCCCCATCCCCTACAGGTGCTGTATAGTGCCTACGGGTTTAGCGCCTCCCCATGATTATAATAATTATTAAGTGTATTAGGATGAGATCCAAATGGCGTATTGCCGACAACAGTGAAAATGACAGTCTCACACATTTTTTTGTTGTAAATCCATAAAATTCTACAGAGAGCGAAATGTTGTCCAAACAAAAAGTGTTCTGCAGCTTGCCTGTCTTCCGTTACATAAATTATATGAGATCATGCCTCTCCTTTACTTAATTAGGGAAAATAGTATTTGTTCGTATTTTTTTTGTTTTGTCCTAAACGATAATTTCAAAATAAAACATTATAATTAACAATGTTTATTGAATATTATCATATTGATATCATTAATTTGAAAATTAATCGTGGTTTCGTATCTCAAATTTATTATAATGATAATCATATATATTCATTTCTTTACATTATTTCATATTCAATTATATTTTTTTTTCTTTACATGGCAATGATTTACATGCTCACCTAAATGGGGTTGCAGGGGTCAAGACTCAGCTCCTGGCCTCGCCTCTTCACTGAACGCTACTAAGTCCTTTCTCTCCATGCTCCATGAGCTTTGACAGACTTCGTCTTAAAGCTGTGTATGGTTCCTGCCTCCACTACCTCCACTACTCTATGGCTGAAGAGAAACTTCCTAACATCCCTTTGACTCATCTGACTCTTCAGCTTCCAACTGTGACCTCTTGTTTCTGTGTCCCATCCCTGGAACATCATATCTCTGTACACCTTGTCAATTCCTCGCAGTATTTTGTATGTCGTTATCATGTCTCCCATAACCCTCCTGTTCTCCAGTGTCGTCAGACCGATTTCCCTTAACATTTCTTCGTAGGACATTCCTCTTAACCCTGGAACTATCATTGTCGTAAACCTTTGCACTTTCTCTAATTTCTTGACGTGCTTGATCAAGTGTGGGTTCCAAGCTGGTGCTGCGTACTCCAGTATGGGCCTGACGTACACGGTGTACAGTGTCTTGAACGATTCCTTACAAAGGTATCGGAACGCTATTCTCAGGTTTGCCAGGCGCCCATATGCTGCAGAAGTTATCTGGTTGGTGTGTACTTCCGGAGACGTGCTTACCCCAAGATCTTTCTCCTTGAGCGAGGTTTGCATTCTTGTCCACCTAGCCTATACTCTGTTTGCTGTCTTCTTTGCCCTTCCCCGATCTTCATGACTTTGCATTTGGCGGGGTTTAATTCGAGTAACCTGTTGCTGGACCAGGTGTCCAGCCTGTCCAGGTCTCTTTGAAGTTCTGCCTAATCCTCATCTGATTTAATTCTCCTTATTAACTTCAAATCATTTGCGAACAGGGACACGTGGTGGTGTGTGTGTTGTGTGTGTGTTGTGGTGTGTGTGTGTGTTGTGTGTGTGTGTGTGTGTGTGTGTGTGTGTGTGTGTGTGTGTGTGTGTGTGTGTGTGTGTTTTGTGTGTGTGTGTGTGTGTTTTCCCCTGTTTTTGGTTACAGGATCAAGTTTGAGCTCCAGTCCTCAACTTATGTAGGCGTTAACAGGTTCACTTAGTCCTCTCTTCAACCTATTTTAGTTATTCTAAAAGCTTGTATGCAGTCTGCTTCCACTACCCATTCGTCTAGTTCATTTCTAGACCACCTAAGGCAGATGAAATATTTCCTGACATCATTGTGGTACGCATGTGTTTATTACTTCCATCAGAGCCCCTCATGTGCTATTGCCTAGCTTCTCGAACAGTATTTTTCAGTTCACTCTATCAATAGTTATTGTTTGTTTATTCTCTGTTGCCGCCGGATCAGTTTTAGAGTCATTCCCTGACTCCGGGACAAGTATCGTTGCAAACATCTGTATTTTCTCTAGTTTCTTTCCATGCGTACCAAGTGTGGGTTCTGTGCTTGTGCTTAATATTTAAGAGGTCTTCCATTAATCATAAATAGGGTTATACATTCGCCAAATGCGTATTCGCAGCAAAAGTTATTTGATTTACCCTCTATCAGTATGCTTCGATCTACACGCCCAAGGTCTTTCTCCTTGAGTGAAGATTTCAACCTTTCTTCTTTAAGTTTGTATTCAGGCCCCAGTCATCTTATCTCTTCTCTAATTATAAAAATCTTCAATTTAAGAAGGCGGAGATGCAACAGATACATGTTGGAATAAACCAACACGTTGTGGAGGTCGCACTGCAGCCTTTTCATTTCATCCTCGAGCTTTATTCTCCTTGCTGATCTCCTTAAGCTGTGTCATTCACATATAGCAGGAACAGTAGCGGTTCCGACAAAAAATCTTGTGGAACTCCACTTGTAGCACTTGTCCCTCTTTACATTCCCCCAACGACGATCGAGTTCTTTTCATTAGATACTGTATCTTTGAACTTCTGCAATGACTTTCCAGTTATTTCTATCTGATCATCAAATTTCATGCCCAGTAACTTGTGTGATGTTCTGTCAAAAGCATTCCACTAGTAATTCTTTTTCTTTCATTGTTTCTGTAACATTCCAAAGTCCTTCGGCAGGTTTGAAAGACAGGATTTACAATTTTCATTTCCATATTGGTAACTTTTTATAAAACCGTTTCACTTCTGGTGTTTTTTTCCTTCATCCTAGTTATCTTTTTCTTTACTTTACATAATATGTATGTATGTCAAGGATACTAGCCTGTTCTTATCGTTATAATCACTGCCTTTCACACTCTGAGTGTATGCGTGTGAGCGTATGTGTATGTGTACGTGTATGTGTGTTGTGTGTATGTGTATGTGTATGTGTATGTGTGTTGGGTGTGTGTGTGTGTGTGTGTGTGTGTGTGTGTGTGTGTGTGTATGTGTGTGTGTGTGTCTGTTGTGTGTTGCGTGTTCATGGATGTAGTATACATTTTCAATAGCCTTAGTAAGTCAGAGTAGAAATTATCTAATCAAAATTCATTTCCAGTTATATTTGTTAAGTAAATAAATCCGTTATATTTACGAAGATATGCTGAAATTACGTAACTTTGCAGTTTGGTCATCACAATACACGTCGTGTATTTCTTTAAGTAACTATTATAGGTTTAAACCTTAGAAATATAGACTCATATATACAGGCTTCTAGCAGAATGTTATGGATTTATTACAACTTAATGGGAGACCTTTAGATTTTGGAAAAATGCTTCCTTATATGCCGTATCAATAAACTGTTGGTAATAGTAAGTCGGAAATAAATTTTTAAGGTTGTCATTGCATCGGCTGAACAATATGAACACAAAGCAAATAATAGTACATAACAAATTAAAAGAAGTAATATAATGCAAGATATTCCTAAGGTATATAAGTCCCCAAAACGTAATATTTCCACAAATTTGTCATCCCCTAACTTTTACTTGGTTTTGCAACTAAAATATTTTTTTTCTCTTTTTTTATAACAATCTATCGTCCCAGCAAATAACTTCTTATACAGAAGCAATACACAGAAGTCATTATAATGACAACGTTTTGCTCATTTATAGAGAAATCCAGCCTTAACGAAAGGCTGCTTTCATATTATGTATTAATACTCATATCTTATTTCTATTGAAATTCATATTGTGAAATTGGCTTCCATTTCAGCCTCCTAGATATTTTGTTTAGTATGATTTAATCACACACACATGTTGAGAAGTGTGTTCTCTCACACATGCTGAGTAAGTGCTCTCTCATATGTTGAGAATAATATTTTCACACTCATATTGAGAAAAGTGTGCTCTCATACATTTGTGTGTGTGCTCGCACTTGCTGAGTGTACATTTTTATACACAGGTTTTCGCTTCTTATGACCAGAGTCTTTGGTAAGATGGTAAGGAAGAAGGATGGGTAAGGATAGAAATATTGGAAAAGGGTGGGAGGGGGGAGTGATGTAGGATATAAAAGAGAAGTGGCCCAATCACACTGGTGCAATTTAAAAAGTGTATGTGTAATAATAGAAAATTCTTGAAGAGGTATAATACTAACCGATCAGAGTCACATAGATGTAACAAATATATAGGTACATGACTCTGAATATGTAGTAGATATACAAGTTGCAATTGCGGTTTTTTTTTATACACAGGTTTGGTGTGTAAATAGGAAAGATAAGTCTGTACTTAGATAAGTTGATTATGTGTTTACGAATGATGAGTGCGTGCTCTCGCATCTTGAATACATGCTCTCCCAAATTTTTACTATGTGTGCTCATAAAAGCGTTGAGTATTCAGAACAAACCAGATTTTACTGTTTATATAAAATATAGAATTTTACCGTCCTTAAAAACATGAGACTATAGGAAAACAAATTACACAGGTTTATCATTTATTATATGTAATATTTATATGTAATTATAATAAATAATGGTTAAAACTTCCGGCAGATAATGAAGGAGAATATAACTCCACATTCTCCCAGTCAAAACTCGTGCAAGTCCCTCGGTAGGCATAACTATTCATTGCTAATAAGGCCAAGACACAAAAACATTGGTTTAAGCATTTCGACATGCAGTGAAGAAGCTGGGAGTTTTGAAGGTGGTACGTTGTCGTCAAGATAGAGTAGGCAATGTTATTACTTGGAGGGAGCACCGTAGCTTGGGGATGGACTCCTAATTTCACCGCGGGCTCGGGCAGCGTCTTCCTGAGCAGCGAAGGCAATCTGGTCCAGCACGAACTGAGGGATTGGGTGGGGGAATTCAGGAGCCACTGGTAGGTAAGAGGACTGGGGCTGGTAGCCACCTTCGTCGGCGACGAATTTCAGGTCGAACACTTGTCCATCGGGGAAAGTAAAGCTGTGTGAGAGACGAGAAGGAAGTAGGTTAGTGCCTGGAAGATGGTTAGGCCATAATGGCTTAAGTGACATTTGATTCATTGGAAGTAATATTTCCTAGTGCAGTTAAGACAGATATTTAGCTAAATGATTAACTAATATAATTATTTAACTAATTATTACATTCAACTTATGAAAGGTATAAAGTTCTCGAGCTAAACAAAACGATTTCCTTATAATAAATTGGACTGATGCATTTTTTTATGATAAGTCTGATTCAGGAAACATATAACCCAAGTAGAATTATCGTGTAATTATTAAAAAACATAGTAATAGGCAAGAAAATAAAAACTTTTAATTTAATTATTTTTATAAGTGCTAGATGAACTGATAAAGTGATATATAAATTGAAACGTAATTTACAAAAACAAGTCAGCACGACAGATAAAGTACTTAAGTGCTGTCATATAATCGCTGCATAGAGGACGTCACCGTCAATCTGTGGTATGAGATTTATAAGAAAAGTGAGATGGACCTCTACGAGATGCATCACCTGGTATTACTCAAAGAAATCTCTTACTAATTGAGCAAGGCCTTCCATTCCACTATTAATTAATTTGTGAATGCGATGCGCTAAACCTGAGTAGGTCATTCAGTTCTAAAAGTGATGGTGGCTAAATCCTCCATTCTCTAAGCAGCTAGCAACTGACGAGGCCTTAAATGATCTTACTCAGTGAATGAAGAGGTCTTCCCCACATTGATTGTGGTTGTCAAGTAGTGGGAAACACTTACCTGACAGAGCCCTGCTGACTACCGCCGGGACCGCCAGACTCCTGCCTCACAATACCGTCCTCGGTCTCCAAGTTTAAGGAGTAAAGTCCCTGGGCATCAGGGTGTACTCGATCGTCGCGGATGATAGCGATCTGGGGTCCCTGGTGACCATGACTAGCAGGGCCTGGTGCTCCATAGGTTGTGAGTGGTCGTTTGTCAGCTGCTGCCAAGGCGAGCACAGCCATCATCACAAACTGTGGGGAAGGGGAGAAATGGTCTCTGTCTGTCTAGCGCTGAGCAAGAAGATCGAGCATCCTTCACTCTTTGTAGTAAACTATTAAAAGGTAAAAAAGAAAATAAATCAAGTCACCTCCCCCCCTTCTCCTCTCGTTTAGTTCCACATCCGTTTTTTTTTTTTCCTCTAAATCAAATGCGCTGATTACTCATTCCTTTATGCAGCCTTGCTAGTAGGTTCGACCATTTGATTTTAATTTATGTGTCTTTTATTGTGCTGCAATTTTTTCTTTGTATTCCTACCTTTACACCATTTCTCATTCTCCACGATGGTAATTTTTTTCCCCTTGCCTTTATACAATCTTTTACATATCCTCTATAATATTTATAATGGGTTTTCTAGAGTTTTTTGTTGAAATTGAATCAGCTGTAGTCTATTATTGATAATTTACAAACGCTGACTATTTGAAAATAAGCTAATTCAGTAATGTAGACTATACAGGATCATGAACTCTTGTAGATTTTTCAAGATGTCTGGTAACTATTTTGTTTTAAGCTAACAACGTGAAAGGTGATTCAGCAACACTCCTTTCAGGATCTAATAATCCGTTGATAAAATATATCTGACATAAAAGGATTATTTCCATAGCAAGAGATTATTTCCATAGTTTTCATGCATTTACAATTTATTATTTGGTTAAAAAGAGTTTAGGTTTTCAGCCTTTATTTTTTCAATGGATAATATATCATGGAAACATCATCTTTACACAGTCACCTTCGTTCCTTACTCAATACTTTATAAAATTTGGTTTTTATGTAAGTGATGATACCAAAATGAAAACCCTACATAAAACTGCTTTCTCGTTACATTTGCGATAAAGTAATCTAATTGGAACAATGATTTATATGTTGATTATTAAAGCTTAAATCCATGAATAAGTTGAAATAATATTACAGTAATAAGTTTTCATTTTCATCTTCTAAGGAAAAATAGTCTTACCTTCTTGAATATAATAATAATAATACAAGCCCCAGAGAGTTTCTCATATATTTAGTCTTATACGACAATTCCTCATTAAATTATGGATGAGGGAGTATTTTGAATCTGATATATTAAGACCGATTCATAAGGAACCTGACGGTACAATGTTAGTGCCTGTTGCCTTGGAATTTTATTTTATTTTAATCTACCTAACGATACGTAATAATGCTTCAGGCATGGGACAACGCAAAGGAAATAACTCTGCCCCGATAATGTTACTCACAGTCCTCATGTTGCAGGTGTTGCAAGGTGCAGAAAGGTGAGAGTGAGAGAGGTAAAGTCTGGTGAATGATGCCTCTCTCCTCATACACCCGGCTTATATAGCCACCGTGTGACCGCTGGTTCTGCCCATCAGTGTAGCCACTGACCACCTTGAAAGTCAGTGTATTTCAGAGTCAATGTTTTCCTTCTGTTAAATAAGGAAAAATATGAACTATATCATCCGTGTGTAGCATTTTTACATATCGATTAATTATTGAATATTATTATAACATGGTTATTCTTCAATTTTATTTCGCTATTGGTATTGCTGGGCAGGTCAAGGTGTACTGGACCAGAATTCATTGCATGACATTTTCAATTCTCAAAACAGGAGATGGTAATGATGAACAATTTCCCAATTGTTGAACTGCAAAAAAAAAAAAAGGTAATGTCTGTTATGTACATGTTTAATAATTCGTGTGCGAGCCTCGTAAGACCATAATTACCTTCGAAATTCAAGTACAGTTCTAACTTTAATTAAGGAAATATTTCAGCTGTTGGTTACATTTGTTCTCACGCGATGCTCCATCAATGTGTACCCATCGATGTGATACGGTGGCAGTACGGTAGAAGGACAGCAGAAGCACATTAGTGGCACGTTAATGGCACACTTGCGACACGGCAGCGGCACGGTAACATCAACGTAATGCTGCAGCAGCTGCATGGCAATAGCAAGGCAGCAGCACGGCACCCACACGATACAATAACTCTTATATAGGACAGGGAGCCCCACAATGCTCTAGTAGATAATTACGTTAAAAATTGTGCTCACATTACCTAATAATAATATATATATATATATATATATATATATATATATATATATATATATATATATATATATATATATATATATATATATATATATATATATATATATATATAAACAACACTGCGACTATCCAAGGACTCGAACCCCATGCTGCTTTGGCCTGCCTCATGGTGGGCGAAAACTCATGACATCTTAATCCACTGGACCAGTGGATTAAGGCGTTATGAGTCTTCGTCCACCATGACGCAGGCCAAAGTAGCATGGGTTCGAGTCCTTGGCTAGTCGCAGTGTTGTTATTGATCAATACCACTCGTTCGTGGACGCAGTAATGTGTGTGTATATATATATATATATATATATATATATATATATATATATATATATTATATATATATATATATATATATATATATATATATATATATATATATTCAACAAGTCGGCTGTCTCCCACCGAGGCAGGGTGACCCATAAAAAAAGAAAATCCCCAAAAAGAAAATACTTTCATCTTCATTCAACACTTTGACCTCACTCACACATAATCACTGTTTTTGCAGAGGTGCCCAGAATACAACACTTAGAAGCATATACGTATAAAGTTATACAACATCGAAGTGTAAGTGTAAGATATGTATTAATAAAGGGGATATTAACAAGGTCTTGAGGATATCTCTCCAAGAGAGAACCCGCAGTAATGGATTTAAATTGGATAAGTTTAGATTAGAAAGGAATAGAAAGTATTGTTTAATATAGGGTAGTTGAATATATAATAGTTAACTATGGGTTATATGAGCTAGACTTTGGTATTTAAATTTAGTTATAAGTATGATGGAGGGTTATATTTGATTGGATTACATAAGTTATTTCTTTGATTGAAAATTGGTGGCATGTTCCTGTAGTGAGGGACCATAAAAAAAGGAGACTCCCTAATGGCAAAAGGCTCTCTGCAGTTTCCTCCTTCTTTGACTAATCCACAAACTTTGCAAGTCCCAAACACCCCTTCAGAAGGGCATGTATATTCCACAACAACCCTCAAACAATAATACCACCGGTTCCCGGGACATTACTTACATTTACCGACTCAACCTCAAACAAGCTCAGTCACATACCTTCGCTCATTCACTCCTATCACGCACGCTCCGGAAGCCAGCCCCTCTCCCACAAAACCTCCTTTACCCCTTCCATTCCAACCTTTGCGGAACCAAGCCCCCGCCCTTACCCTCAATATTACTATTATTCATATTATCAATATACATAATATACTATATATATCATATTATATATATATATATTATATATATATATATATATATATATATATATATATATATTATATATATTATATATTATATATATATAATATAATATATGATAATTCTTGCTGAAGTTCGATCTTCGTTTGTGGAGAATATAGCCTCAATATTGATCAAGAGTGTGTCACGGAAGGACAGAGTTTGCCTCTTGGCAGCGAGAGATTCTCATATTGGGGATTTTCTGTTAGCTGTCTATAATTTATATGTAGACACACGCCTCGACACTCTAGCCATTCGTAATGGTATTGGTCTTTACCTTGCAGCGCCTATGCTTAACGAACACAGGTTTATGAAAGTGAATAGATTGACCAATTCTTATGCCACTGTCTTGTTTGCCATATATCCGAGGGAAAGATTGCAAAGCATTAAGATTTACAACATCGCTAGGTGCCCAGCGATCAAAGAGTCATCACACCTATGTAGATACGATGGCAACCAAATTCATCCAGATGGAATTACTTTACAAGTCACCAAACCTCCACAATTGGCAAGCAGGTGGTATTGGGCAACACATAAGCATCCACACTGCTTGACACCGAATTTCAGTGTAGAAGGTATAAAGAAGCTGCAGCTGCTTGCTTCAGGGAGTCCAAAATGTCTAGAAAACACAGTAAACTCTCTTATCAATACACGTTCATTCTCATGGTTTTAGAGATCCTTGGCTCACGGGGAAAGAGTTCATGTAAGTTCCTGAAGGAGTATGCAAAGGACTCAAAATAGTAACTAAAGATCCAGCTAGTTTTCCGTTCCAGAATGACAGTGTTGCAATTTAAAGGGGTAATGCCTGCTGTACGCAACCAAGCTCTGAGGATCGCTGTAAAGTATTTAAAATATAATTGTCGACAAACGCATTTGTGCATTTTTTGCGTCTTTTAATCGTTTTGCTTTTTGATGCAATTTTTTATGTGGGTGTATGTATACGTAAGTGAATGAATGTGAATATAGTTTTGTGTATAACTACAAAAATGTGTTTGTAGTTACATTTCAAATAATTGAATTTATATATGTATATGTATTCGAGATATAATTGTTGTCAAACACAGCTTTATATTTATACACACAGTACACTTGATAAACCTTGTATATCATATTATCTGGCAAAGTAAGTGAGTTGCACATACTTCTTTTCTCCGTAATTTTTGATACAATATTTCAAGTATTCTAGGACTTAAGCACTTCTCCAGCCCCTTTCTTGTGATAACTGTCAGTGGGAAATAATTTAAGTCATTGCAAGTAGCATTCGGTAGCCAGTCCTCGATTCCTCAGATTAATCTATGATCGGTAATCGAGATAATGTACACAGTGTCTGTACCTACAATTACTCTTAGTTTTTTTTTTCTGATGCAGCAACACTTTGCATAATATATAATGAGGAATTTTTTTGTTTTGTATCCTTCATCTCTACCATTCATCTCTACCTTTCCGCCGTTTTTGTTGCTTTTATCATTGCCAAGTTTTCCTAAATTAGTTTTTCTTACATGCTGGTTTCTGATGCTATCTGCACGTCATAGTTCCATGTTATCTTATTAAATGTTATATATAAAATTAAGTTAATGCCCGATGCACTACAGCACAGTCTCCTACACTCTACTATGATTTGCCGCCTCTCTCACCATAGATACATGAACACGATCACAAGCATATATGTATTTTCTGCTGCAGAAGTGTTCCTAGTTATTAATAAATGGCACTACAATCTTTGCAGTACAATCCTTGCACTCCAATCCTTGCAGTTAGCACAAACTTCTCTCGACAACCATTTATTGCCGTAATGACCTGGTAAATCACAAAAAAAAAAATCAGAGAGGAAAAGTCTTCTGTTGAAATAACGAGGTTTAATATTGTATGCAAAAAACTGGAAACTGCCAGAAAATAGTGGTACTAACACTTTCGTATGAGCGTGTGTCATAGTTCCCAATTTTGCAGCGAGGAGGAGGATGAAAGCTGGAGACTGTGTGGTTATATGATAGGTTTAATTCAGAAAACGGATTAAGGGTTTTGAGATGGTACGGTGATTTAGAAGGATGGAGAAGAGAATGTTCAGAAGGGTATATAAATTCAGGGTGCATAGAAAAAATGTAAGGGACGTTCCTGGAATGGTTAAAGAGTAAGGAGTGAGCATACTGCAGGGGTGTGTGAGCGTGTAGAGGCAAGTTATTTTTTTGACACTCGGCGTGCTGCTATAGGGTGAACAAGGTAATATTCATGATGTCATCCTAGGAAACCGGTTAACTGGCCTTGAGTTCTGGAGATGGTAGGTACATTGCCTGCACTCTGAGGGATGGATGGGGACTTTGCAATTCCAGATGGCCTTTTGCAGTCTTACACTTCCCTCTCTTTTCTTCCCAGGTTGCAAGATTACATGTTCATGATGACACCACAAAAATAAAAACAGATACCTCAAACTTGTTAATCCCTAAATTAAATTGGAACTATTTACTGAGTTTTTTTTTTATTGTTAGTGGAAATGAGTAAAAAAGAGTAAAATATACATATTAAATATGCAGATTAATCTGTAGATTAAAACATCACACAGACTCTCCATGCTGTTGACAATTTCAACTCTATCAAAAGGAAGATGATAAGCTCTGATTACGTAAGCCAACCTGATCGTCATACAATGCAGGGAAACATTTGTAGTAATAACTGTGTTTTCAATTTATAAACTTAACTCTCTGACACACTAATTGTTGTATAGCTTGCAGACACCAATTCTCCGACTGTTTAATAAAGACTAACATTTAAGTAGGAGACGCTTCACTAACTGTGGTTTTTTAATAGAATACAGCTAAGAAAAAAAGAAAGTAATAGCATGCTGGCTAGGTAGTGTCAGGATCGGGGATGTTGGGTGATGGAGCTCACGTCACCTCCTGGTGTAGTGTATGTGGTGGGGTCGAATCTCGAAATGCCAAAACTACCTGAATTTTGGGGTACTGTGTTGGAAACAGCAAACAAGGCAGCCTCAAGG